TTCCCACACGAATGTGGAGGTGGTAGCATGATCCGGGGATCGAACCGCAGCCCAATGCACGCTCAGGCCAACTAAGCCTTCCATCCCTCTGAGTCGGTTAATTGGCACCAGACCCGTCTTGGAGTATATAAAAGATTAATGGAGTACTCTGCACATCGGCTGACCACTCCAAGTCATTGTATCGGCTAAATTACGCATTCACTACACCCTTAAGATTGATTAACACCAAAGACTTCAGTGTTTATTTGTCCCTGCGCGAATCCTATTTCTTTTATGGGAAGAAGATGAAGGATTGCGTAAAAAAAGGCTCCTTACCACATGGTAGAAGAACTTGGCCTTGGTAGTGGAGTAAAACTTCAGAGTTGACCAAAGCCACGATGGCATCCTCCAAGGGCATCTTGAACTGCGTTCACGTCCTTCATAAATGTACGAGCCGTCGTCGTGCTTGTGTTCATCACTACTCGGAGGAGACCGATTTGGGCTCACTTGATCCCTTATGGGGAACTTCGGCGTGGAGCACATCATCACATGGGATCCAATCTTAGGAAGTTTCATCGGTCCCGAGTCCTTGAGGTATTCCAGCTCATAAGAATTCGGTGTGACGGCATCGCATGGGACCAGTGTTGGAGAGTCCAGGTCGACAGTTCGCGAAAATGCAGGATTTTCGGATAGTCGGCCTAACATAGTTCCTCGATCGTTCTGCTGTGGATATTGATACATTTCGACTTTTTCGTTAGCTGGTGGAGGTTTTAGCTGATCAGGACCTCTCGATCTTCGCAAGGTATATTCTTTGTATAGGAAACACGGGAAAATGTAGCTGATGAATGTCCTTGTCTGAAAAGCGAAGAAGTTAAAGTTGAAATGGTGCTTCTGATGTAAAAATTCGTTGGTGCTTCCGCCTAAAAAACGGGTTACTGTAAGCCTGTGTCCACGGACTCTTTTTTACCTAATCAGTTACAGACCCACCACTTCTAGATGCTCTACAGACCTCACACTGACATCAACGGAAGCCATCCAACGAAGCCACAGTCCATTTATTTTGTCTGAGGGTGAGTGTGAGGCGAAAGGGTGGGGGTGCGGGGAGCTCAAATGTCATTGTGGGAGGAAGAGCTCGCTTACCGGACTGAGCCGCAATTTTCCATGCCATCTCCTTTCAATTAGACTTTGACAGCAGTTGTGGGCAAGAAAATTCTAAAATAGAACAGATTCATTCCCCACATGGTGAATATTGGGGGAGGAGGGTGTGTATCGTTAGGCGAGAATTACTCGCGAGCGACAAGTGGTAAATATGCGCGGCAGGACCCACGTCAGCCACACATTCTACGCACACCATCTCCATCACAAAATTCACTTTCTGCCCTAACGATACATCCACTGAATGAGTATGATACCATTGCATTGGCCCTGTAGGCCACAGCCATGAGCTCTATAGAGGCTTCCTCACTGCGTACACTCCAGGGAGCTTGTACTGTAAAATTCTTCTATGTCGCATCCGAAGACATTGAAAACCAAAAAGCTCACCCCGACAGCAGCCTCCCCAACAGGTCGTTGCTCTCTTCGGGTATGTATTCGTTCTTCTCAGGATCTTCGCCCCGCCAAAGAACTCATCTTCTCCCAATTTGAAGATCTTTTCATAATCGATTTCAATGGCATTTATGGCGATGTTAGCGTTTTTGCGGAAGATGTCATTCAATAATTTGAGGGATCTCTCTTCAAAGAAACTGAAACAAAACGTTCCCCCAAATAAATTACATAAATATTACAGAAGATAAGAAACCATCGATTTTCAGCGAACACTGCTGCTTGATATTCATCATGAACTCCTTTGAAAAGTCTTTCCATTACGACACAGGCGTACATACATAAGGTACCTGCGTAGAGATGAAATCTACAACTCGGCCAGACATCAACATCATATCCTTGGTTAGGCCTAAATGAGCTGAGATCGAATAAATCAAGAAAATTCGCGGGATCATTTGGAGGAGGGACAACCCACGTGTGGTGGATATCACCCAAATCACGCTCATTCCCATCCCTCCTTACATCCCACCCGGACGACCTTTGCGGCGACCAAATCACAGTATCATCGTCAACTTTTTCGGAAAAGCAAAATTTCTCAAATTGGAGCAAGCCCAGAATCGGTTTGGGAATCACCCTGATCCCGTTTAGTGCCCTAATCCTTCACTGGATCCTTACTCGAGAGCTTTTGGAATGAAAACGCAACGTATGTATCCCCACATACACCATCCTCCTCCACGTTACCCTTAAGTTCTGTAAAACCTCCCGCATCTCACTGGTAACGGTTTTCCCCAAAAAAAGAGGAAATTTTCAATTGCCATACATTTCGCCTTCTCGTTTCCAACATTTTGTTCTTCCAAAGAAAGCATTGCAGAGCATTTCACAAAGACTAGGGTCAACATCATAGATCTGGTACAGTGGGACCCTGGAAAATGTTCTTTTATTTGTTTGTTTGTAGTAACTTGGCATTTTAATAATCATCAAACAAGAGGTTGTTTCAAAAGTTTTTAGAATTCTTGTACAGCATTTTCCGTAACTTCTGGTCACAGCTGGAGCGTCGCCTTGTTGTTATTTCATCACCTCAT